TCCGGGCACCGTCCTCGTGCACTGTCACCTCCGCAGGTGTTGTGGCTTGGCACCCAACGTCACCCCAAAACCAAGCGGGAAGGGTGCACGCAGGGGGCAGACCCCCCCCAGCACGGCCGGGCAGGGGAGGTAACGAGGCCAACGCCGTTTGGCAAAGGTCACCGCACACCCACCGCCGTTCTCAACGCCTCCGGCCAGCGCTGGTCCCGCAGGGGCCCGGCAGGAAGAGCGGCTGCCGGCTCCCACGCTCGCGACAAAGAAAACCGCGGGGCCGGGGAGACCTCAGTCCGAGCGGCACCGACGCCTCAGCCCCCCGAGGGACCCCGGCACGCATCCTCCCTGCACCACGTGCAAGTGCCAGGCTGCTTCGCCCTGGCTGTGCCGTGCAGGCTGCTGGCGGTGCCGGGAAGCAGCGCTGCCGGCCCCGGGGGCAGGAGAGGCCGCATCCTGCCCGAGGGATGGGCAGAAAGCAGGCAAAACCCGGCCGCCGCATCTCCAAGCCCAGTTTATCCACAGGCCGGACCCTGCTCCAGCCCTTTCGCCCCACCGACCTGGCTCCGACATCCCCAGGAGCGTGCGGCATCTCTGCTGCCGGCCGCGGGGGCAGAGCTGGATGCGGGCCAGGGCCGGCAGCACCGAAATCCCCATCCACGCGACAGCTGCCGGCCCCGGCACTGGGCGCTCCTTCGGTCACGGCCGCGTCCCTGCCAGCGAGCTCCGGTTTCCTCACGGAGGGGGCTGGGGGCTGCCGGGGGGTATTTATAGACAGCCGCCCACGGCTCCGTGCGAGGCACCGGGGAGCCCCCTCTGCACCCCAGGGTGCGCTCAGCGGGAGGGGAGGGGATTGCGGGGGCCGATGAGCCCCAAACCCTTCTCCAGCCGGCAGCAGCTCCCTGCCCGTGCCCCCGAGCCCTCGGCACGAGCACCGCGGGCGGGCGGCAGCCGCCGGGGCAGGGGTCGGGGCGGCTGCATGGAGGCAGCGCTGACTCACGGGGTCTTCCCCGGCTGACACAGCCGCTCGGCGCGCCGGGGCTGCTGAGCGCCGCGGCAGCGCTGCTGGCAGCCGTGCTGTGCAGCGAGGGCGGCCGGTTCCCCCCCTCTTTTTCTCTACCCCCTCGCCCCCCCAGCACCATGCACACGGGCATCTGTGGCTCAACAGGTAGTGGGCACCCCGGGGGGAGGCTGAGCCCCGCTCCTGCTGCAGGGCAGGGTGGAAAACGCCTGGAAGAGGCTCTGGCGGTGGACAAGAGCATCGTCGGCACGGGGAGCGAGGGATGCAGGGCTCGGCGCTGAGACATCCCCGTGCCTCGACTGGAGCAGAAGGAGCCGGGGCTCCCCGCAGCTCGGCTCAGCCCCGGCGGCAGCTGCGGGCAGCTGGGGCTCGGGGAGGCACCTCTGGGGGATGCGCCCGCGCCCCGACCCGTTTCCATGGGGACACCGCAGGGTCCCCCACGCCCACGGGACCCCCGGGCACGTCCCTGCCTCCACCTGCTCTCAGCTCCATCGCCCCCTCCACCCGCACGAGCCCTCCCCGCCGCGATTGCCAGATAATCGCAGGAAGCAGCGAGCAGCCCCTTCCCACACGGCTCCTTCCCCTCCGCACCATCCCCACGCACGTGGCACCCTGCCCCGCGGCACGGGGACCCTCCGGGGTCCTCCAAGCCCCCCCCCAATCCCCCCGCAGCGCTGTCCCACTGACGCCCATGGGTGCCACGCACGCCCTGCCAGCGCGGGTGCCTATTCCCTTCCCCTCTCTGGATAGGTATAAATAACATGACAGATGTCTATACAAAGAGTTATTCATATCGCTGCCAACGAGCACAGCCAGGGAGCAGGAGCTGAAAGGGGTGTGTGGGGGGAGAATTATAAATAAAAGACACCGTCCTGCAATAAAAAAAAAAAAAATACAGAAGAAAGGGGTGTGGAGGAGGATGGAGGGCTTCGCCGCACCGCGGAGGGCACGGCTCCTCGAGGAGACCACGCACGGGGTGCCCGCATCGCTGGAAGAGGACGGGGACCCCCAGCCCCAGCTGCCCCCACCCGCCCCTGCCCAGCACCCCGGGGGATGCCCAGCTTCCCCCTCTGACCCCACCCCCAGCCACAGCACCCACCCAGGGAGCTCCTAAGGGCGAATCCGCCCCTGCTGACCCCCAGGCTCCCCTGTGCCCCCCGACTTCTGGGCCACCCCCAGGAGGCCGTGCCCACCGGGTGGGCCGGCAGTGACACGAGGCTGATGCTGGCAGGGCACAGGCAGGCTGCTGGCAGCTCCCGCTGGCTGCGGTGGCGGCAGAGCCGCTGCGGGGACCAGGCAGGGCCCCCCCAGGACCCCCCACGCCAGCCAGCCCTGGAGTCCCCAGCCCTCAACCACCACCATGGGGCCAGCAGGGATGCAGACAGGGCCCCTCGCTCCCCGAAGGGCAGTCGGGGGCTTTTATGGGGCCTCCAGGCAGGAGCCGCAGGTGGGGACGAGCCAGGGCGCACCCAGCAGGGCTCCTGCTCACGAGGGCTGGCGAGACGGGGGGCCCCGCAGCCCCCTGCAGCCAGGAGGCAGCGCGGTGCCAGATGGGGCAGTCCCATCCCCTCCTTGGACACCCACCAGGGGCACTGGGGCAGCTCCACCGGGACACGGCGCCCAACCCCAACCAAAGCACCCACCGCACGCGGCCCCATCGGTGCCCGCCCCGTCCAACACTGGCAGGCCACCGCTGAAGCCCCCGGGACCCCGAGAAACCCGCGCAGGCCCCTGTGCGGCCACAAACACCTCCAACGGCCACCCCAGCGGCCCCCAACCTCCCGCGGCCACCCGTACCTTGGAGTAGAGCCCCCAGGAGAGCTCGGTCTCGATGACCATGACGACGATGCCGAACATGCCGAAGATGAGCGCGTAGTCGCTGAGGCGCTTGCGCTTCTCGAAGAGCGCGCGCCGGTGGCCCAGGCGGTAGCCGATGTTCTGCGCCTTGCGCTTGGGTCCCTTGGCGAAGGCGGCGGGGGCCGGGCGGGCGGGGGCCCGGTCAGCGCGGGGGCCTCGGCGGGCGGGGGGCCGCGTGGCGGGCGCGTGGTTGTCCTCAGCGCGAGACGACGATTTCGGGGGGCCCGCCGGCCCCGAAGAGCTGCAGCGGCTGCGCCTCGGGCTCCGCCTCGATGAGGTTCCTGCGGGAGGCGCTGAGCCGGCTGAGGGGCTTCATCACCCCCCCGCTGTACTTGCAGGAGCTCATGGCGATCTCGGTGAACGGGTTGCTGTCCCGCCGGTGCACCAGCGGGCTGGGCTGCCGGTGCTTGCCGCCGCCGCCGCCCGCCGCCGAGCCCGGCGAGTGGCCGGCCAAGTGGTCGCTGAGATTGAGCTGGCTGCCGTGGCGGGAGGAAGGGTGGAGGGCGGCGGGGGCGGCGGGAGGAGGGGCCCGCAGCGACCCGGGCGAGGAGTGCAACAGGCTGTGCTGGAGCGGCGGCAGCGCGGCGGGCGGCGGGCGCTCGTCCCCCGACGACGGGCAAGGGCACCGGGGGTCCTCCTCCAGGTCCCCCACGCCCGAGTCGTGGAAGTGCCCCGACGTGTCCATGGCGGCGGCGCCGCCGCCTCACCGCCCGCCGCGCACCTGCCCCGCCGCGGCCGCTCCGCCGGGCGCCGGCACCGGCCCCGGGCCGGCCCCGCCGCGCCCCGCTCCGCTCCTCGCCGCCGCGCCCGGCACCGGCCCCGGCCCCGGCGGCGGCGGCCCCGGGGCGGCGGGCGCGCGGCTGCTCATGAATGGGAGCCGCGTCCCTCCGGCGCTGCGCGCTCGCCGCCGCCGCCGCCCCCGCCGCCGCCGCTGGCCCGGCCCCGCCGCCAGCACGGCCCCGCCATTGGCCGCGCCGGGGCTCCCCGCAGGCTGACATCATTCCCCGCCCCGCTCCCGCGCCCCCGGCCCCTGCGCCTGTGCGGGGCGCACGGGACTTGTAGTCCGCCGGGGCGCACCGGAGCCGGTACCGGCAGCGGCGGGAGCCCCGACGGCGGCGGTGCGAGCGAGAGCGGGGCGCCCCCACCCCCGTCCCGCTCCCGGTCCCGCTCCCGGCCCCGCCCGTCCCGCGGACAGCCCCGGGCCGCTCCCCGCCGCCGGTAGCCCCGCTCCCACCGACGGGCGGGCGCGGAGCCCCCGAGCCGGGCTGGGCGGCACCGCGCCGGGCAGCGCCGCTCCGCTGTGCCCGGGGCCGGCCCGCGGCTCACGTCGGGGGCGAGGAGCGGCGGGACCGGGGGCTCCCCGCGGCCCCGGAGCGCTGCCCGCAGCTCTCGCCGCTCCCTGCCGGCCGCCGCCCCTCGACGGGGGTGCGTGGGGGCGGCAGCGGGGACTGGCCCGGCACGGGGGGGCTCCGGTGGCCGAGGGGACCGAGCTGCCCCCCCCCCCAGGGGGACCCTGGGCATCCCCTGGCCCCCCGAGGAGCCACCTCGGCAGCTGCCGTTATATAATGCCCGTAATCTCCTTACAGGCCTCCGGCGAGGCTCAGGGCCTCCGAGCAGAGGCCAGAGATTACGGGCAGCAGCTGGAGCTGGCACAGCCCTCGCTGGGGCTGGGGCTCCCCCTTGTCCCCTGTCCCCCTCGTCCCCTGGCTCTCCCCATTGTCCCCCGGGGCTGGGGGACAGGGCTCTGCCAGCCCTGGTGCTCTTGGCACAGGGAAGGGGGGGGACAGGGCCAGGCTGGCCCCCAGCCCCCCCGCTGTCCCTTCCCGCAGCCCCCTGCACTGTCCCTGTCCCTGCCCCCGGGCTGGGCCCAGCTGCTGTGGGAGACGAGCTCCCGGCGGGCAGGTATTAGGGCAGGAGCCTTCTGCTTCGGAAGCGGATAATCCGCGGGGAATTGGCTGCAGGAAGCCTATTAAAAACACACCACAAGGCACCCAGCTGGCGGCCCCCGGGGCGGGCACAGGGAATTAAACCGCACCTCACGCCACCGCCACCCCCCAGGGCAGGGGCACAGCCCACCCCCCAGTGACCTGAATTCCCCCCCCCCCCCAGGAAAGGAGACTCAGCCTCTGGGTGTTTCTCAGCGTCAGAGCTTTATTCCAGTGCAGGCATCGCCCCCAGCCCGGACAGGAGAGGCAAACTGGGAAGCGCCGCTGGGCTCGCAGGGGACACGGGACGCAGGACACGGTCCCCGAGCCACAGCTGAGGGTCACTGAGCAGCAGCAGCCCCTCACCCCTGGGGGAAGGCACAGCCCCTGCGGGGTGTGGGTGAAGGGGATGGAGGTGCTGGGGGGGCTGGCTGCCTCCCCCCAGTCTCCTCCTCCCCAGCACCACGACTGGGGATCCACAGGTGGCCCCCACGATGCTCCCCACGCAGGGTAAAGCCCCCAGGAAGGATGAGGCCCTGTGTGAGCGGCTCTGAACAGCCGCGTGCCCCCCAAATCCCATGTGGGAGCTACAGCCGGCTGCGGACGGACTGCAGCAGCGCTTCCAGCTGCCCGTCCAGGGACAGCTCGTCCCCGTCGTTGGTGATCACCCAGTCGAAGGCCACTCCCTGGTCCAGGCCGCACTCAGACTCGGCGTCGTCCACCCCTGGGGAAGAGCAGAGCCCACACCACAAGTCAGGATCCATCCCCCGGGGGAGGCACCGCGCAGCCTCACCCCCCGCCCGCTGCTCTGGAGCTTTATCCTGATCCTCCGGCTCCTGCACTGCGGGCACAGCAGTGGAGGCAGGGCAGAGCCGTGCTGCAGGGAGCTGCGATGCCCCAGGTTTGGCTGCGGTGTGATGGGAAGCAGCGCTCGCTCACCCGCCACGAAGACCCAGTTCCTCCTCTTCCTCGTCTCCTCGGAGGCCACGACCCGCACGGTCTGCACCACGTCCCCGTAGACGTCCCGGAACCACTCCACGTCCGAGAGGCGCCGTGTGTCGCTCACCACCTGCACCCAGGCTGCGTCAGCGGCTGCCCCGCGCCCCCCTGCTCCTCCCCAGCCCCACTCACCCACACCGGCTGCGCCACCCCCTCCACCACCGTCCTGCAGAAGAAGCCGGGGTCAGCACGGCGCTTCTCCTCGCCCCAGCGGATCATGTCCTGCCGGTACAGCTCCTTGTAGGCGCTGGCGTCCAGGAGCCGCTGGAAGTCCAGGCCATGCTCCTGCGGGGAGAGGGTGTGAGTGGGGCACAGCCCCTGTCATGGGGCACGGCATGGCAAAGCTCAGCACGGTGTGATGTGGTGCAGTGTAGCATGGCACAGCACAGCTCAGCATGGCATGGCACGGCACAGCACAATATGGCACAGCTCAGTATGGGATGGCACAGCACAGCATAACATGGCACAGCGTAACATGGCATGGCATGGTGCAGCATGGCATGGCACAACATAACCTGGTACAGCATGGTGTAGTATGGCATGGCACAGTGTAATATGGCACGGCTTGGTGCAGCATGGCATGGCACAGCACAGCTCAGCATGGCACAGCATAACATGGCATGGCGTGGCGCAGTATGGCATGGCATGGCACAGCATAACATGGCACAGCTCAGTATGGGATGGCACGGCACAGCGTAACATGGCATGGCATGGCGCAGCATGGCATGGCACAACATAACCTGGCACAGCATGGTGTAGTATGGTATGGCACAGTGTAATATGGCACGGCTTGGTGTAGCATGGCATGGCACAGCACAGCACGGCACAGCAGAACATGGCACGGCGTGGTGCAGCATGGCATGGCACAACATAACCTGGCACAGCATGGCGTAGTGTGGCATGGCACAGTGTGATATGGCATGGCTTGGTGTAGCATGGCACGGCACAGCATAACATGGCACAGCTCAGCACAGCATGACATGGCGTAACATGGCATGGCATGGCATGGCCCAGCATGGCTCAGCACAGCACAGGGTAAGATGGCATGGCGTAACATGGCACGGTGTGGTGCAGTACAGCACGGCACAGCACACACAGCACAGTGTAATATGGCACGGTGTGGTGCAGCATGGCACGGCACAGCACTGCATAACATGGCACAGATCAGCATGGCATGGCGTAACATGGCAGGGCGTGGCGCAGCATGGCACAGCACTGATCGGCATGGCATGGCACAGCATAACATGGCACGGCGTGGTGTAGCATGGCACAGCACAGCACAGCTCAGCATCACATGGCATGGTACAGTATAATACGGCACGGCACAGCTCAGCATGGCACAGCTCAGCATAACATGGCACGGTGTGGCACAGCATGGCACGGCACAGCACGGCTTGGCATGGCATGGCACGGCACAGTGTAACATGGCACGGAATGGTGTGGCATGGCACGGCATGGCACAGCTCGGCATGGCACGGTGTAACACGGCATGGCGTGCTGCAGCATGGCACGGCACAGCACGGCTTGGCACGGCACAGTGTAACATGGCACGGAATGGTGCAGCACGGCACAGCATCACACGGCACAGCTCAGCACAGCTCGGCACGGCGGATCCCGGTGGATCCCGGTGGATCCCGGCGGATCCCGGCCGCCCATCCCCGCTGCATCCCGCCCCGTCCCGCCCGTCCCGTCCCGTCCCGTCCCGCCCCGTACCTCTGCGTAGCGCTCCTTGAGCGGCGCGGAGAGGCGCAGGACGCAGCACACGGCGGGGCCCAGCCTGCGGGACAGCGATCAGCGGGACGGGACCCGGCTCCCCCCGCGGCCCCCCCCCGCCCCGCCCCGTCCCGTCCCGGTACCGGCTGCGGAGCTGCTCGGCCACGAAGTCCTTCCCCGACTTCCTCTTGCCGCTCAGCAGCAGCACGGCGCGGGGCGCCGCCATCCCGCCACGGCCCCCCCCGCGCCACGGACGTGGTACGGCCCGGGGGGGGCGGGGCGGGGCGGGGCTGGCTCCGCCCCCTGGGTGTGTCTGGCCACGCCCACTGTGGGTTTGGCCCCGCCCCCCTCGCTATAGCGCCCCCTGCAGGGCGCCGCGGGGAGGGGCGGGCGGCACCCCGAAATACGGGGTACCCCAAAACCAGGGGGTACCCCAAAACCAGAGGCATCCCAAAACCGAGGGGAGTTACCCCAAAACCGGGGTTACCCCAGAACCCAGGGGGGTTACCCCAAAACCGAGGGGCACCCCAAAACCAAGGGGAGTTACCCAATAGCTAGGGGGGCACCCCAAAGGCAGGGGACATCCCAAAACTGAGGGGAGTTACCCCAAAACCAGGGGCATCCCAAAACCCAGGGGGTTACCCCAAAATTGGGGGGCACCACACTCAGCCCCCATACACCCTCACCCCCCACACCCAGTCCTGACCCCCCAACCCCTTTCTTCTTCCCAGCACCCCATTTCCCCCCCATTTCCCCCCCAGCACCCCTCCTTCCCTTCCCAGCACCTCCCTTCCCCCCAGCACCCCTACACCCCCCGGCACCCCCTTTCCCCCCCCCGCACCCCATTTTGCCCCAAGCATCCCCCACACCCCCCAGCATCCCTATTTCCCCCCCCAGCACCTCCCATTCCCCCCCAACCCCCTTGCACCCCCCTTTCCCCACCCCAACACCCCCACACCCCCCAGCATCCCCCTTCCTCCCCCAACCCCCATTCCCCCCCCAGCACCCCCCTTCCCTCCTGGCACCCCCTTTTCCCTGCCCCCCCCCCGCACCCCATTCCCCCCCCAGGCACCAGTCCCAGCCGTGCCCAGCGGTGACTTTATTTCATCTACAGCAGTGCAGCATCACACAGTGCAACTCGTGGGGGGGGGGGGGCACAAAGCAGCCCCCAGACCCCAACCAGGGCCCAGGGGAGCCCCCCCCGGGTGGGCTCGGGGCCGTTGTGCTGGACGAAGGCTGGCAGCGGGGTGCCCCCCCCGCGCCCCATGGCTCTATCTGCTCCCCCCGTGCTGCCGCCAGGCTTTCCGGCCCCGCTCCTTCCCCGTGGAGCTGCGAGAGAAGAGGGGCGGTGAGGGGGTCCCGGCTCTGACTCCCCCACCCCACAAAGACCCCCTCTGCGCCCCCCCGTCCCGCTCACCCGCCGCCGTCCCCGGCGTAGTGCCGCAGCACGTAGTCCTCGAAGCCGTCGGCCGCCTCCTCGTCGCCCCCCTCGCGCCGCGCCAGCTCCTCCAGCATCTCCTCCACGTCGTCCACGAAGTCCACGAAGCGCAGGCGGTCGTGAGCGAAGGCGCCGTCGGCCCCGAAGACGCCGTCCAGCCGCGCCGCCAGCCCCCCGAAGTGCCCCCCCCAGCCCAGCCGGCCCATGAAGCCCTCCAGCAGCTGCAGGAACTGCGCCTTCTGCACGGGCTCCAGCGCGGCGCCCAGCACCTCCCGGCCCTCCTTGCGGGCGCAGTCGGCCACCCCGGCGCAGCCCTGGGGCGCCCGGTAATGGCTCAGCGGGGGCAGCTCGCGGGGGCCGTGCTGGGGGGGGCCGTGGGACGATTTCCCCCTGGCTTTGCCCGCCTTGTGCTCCCGGGGGGGCTGGGGCTCCTTCCCGTGCCCGTGGGGTTTGCCCTGCTCCTTTTTCTCCCACCCACCCCGCTCGTGGGGACCCTCCCCGGCACCGTGCCGCTTGTGCCGCCGGCTCTCCTTCTTGTCTGCTTTGAACGGCTTCTTCCAGGGCCCGGGGAAGGGCCGGGTCCCCTCTGCCTCCAGCTCACGGCCCAGGCGCTCCTCCAGGGCACTCAGCTGCTCCGGGAGCCCCTCGAGCCCCCCCGAGCCCCGCGCTCGCTCCAGGGCGGCTGCCAGCTCCTGCCGCACCCAAGCCAGCAAGCCGCGGTGCCCGGCCCCCTCCCGCCTTGCCGCATCCCCCCTGCGGGCTGCACCCTCTGGGCCGTGGGGCTGCTCTGCTGCCGGCTCCCCAGCCTCGGTTTTGTGGGGCTGGGGGCTGCCCGGGACCCCCGCCTCCTGCAGGCGCTGCAGCTCGGCCCGGGCGGCTCGCAGTGCCTCGGTTTCCCTCTGCAGCGCGGCGCGGAGCCGCTCGTTCTCTGCAGCCAGGCTCTGCTGCTGCGCCCCGGCCGCCGCCGCCGCTCCCTCGCTCTTCTGCAGCAGGGCCTGCAGCTCTTCCTTGTGGGCCTGGGGCAGGGGGGAGAGCGGGGAGGGGGCCGTGAGGGCGTGGGGGTGGTGCTGGGGGGCAGCTTCCCCCGGGTACATTGTGTGTGCCCACCTGCAGCTCAGCCTGCATGAGCCGGATCTCCTGGTTCTCCTTGGCCAGCTTGTCCAGGAGGAGGCTGACGGACTGCACGCTCTGGGGGTCCGCGGCGGCCGGCGGCGGGGGCTGCTGCACCAAATCCTGGGGGAGAGGAAGGACGAGGCCGTGGAGGTGCCGAGGGAGCGGCTTCCCCTCCGCCAGCCCCGTTCCCACCCCTCTCCTTACGCTCCCGTCCGCAGGCACCGGCGCCTCCTGCTCGGTGTCGGCCACGCCGCGGCTCACCACGCCGTCCACGGGGCCTGGGGGGGAACCGCACGGGGACGTCCGAGCGCGTCCGGGCTGCCCCACCGGGCACCACGGGCCAAGCCCCTCCGCGCTCACCGTCTGCTGGGTCATAGAAGCCCCCTGGGGAGAGGAAGGGACAATGAGGGGGACACCGGGCTCCCCATCCTGCCCCCCCGTCCCACCCCGGGACCGTGACTCACCGGAGATGAGCAGCAGCGCCACGGCCGCCAGCGCCAGCGCGCCCAGGAGGTACTTGCTGGAGCTGAGCCCGTCCTCGTCGCCGTTGTCCGGTGTCCCCCGGTGCAGGGCAGGCCCTGAAGGGGGGGGCCCAGCACGGGGCTCGGGGACCCGCCGCCTCCGCAGCCCCTCGGTGTCGTCGTCGCTGCTGGTGCAGCTCCCCTCCTCCGCTGGTGGTCCTGGGGGGGGGACGGGGACCTGCAGGGAGCGCCCGCACCCCGGTGGCACCGGCACGGGCCCGGTGTGCTCCCGGTCTGACCTGCTCTGGGGGTGTCCGGGCACGGCCCCCGCTCTGTCATCACGTCGGGCTCCTCCTGCTCCCAGCTCGGCGTGGTGCTGGGCTCCGTGGGGCTGCCCGTGGTGGGCACCGCGTCGGCACCGCGCTCCGGCCGCTCCTCCACGTCCTGAGGGCACGGGCGCTGGGGTCTCAAACATCCACACGCAGCAGGACCCCAGCCCCACCGCTCCCCCTGCCCCCTCCCCGGGCTTACCCCGACCTCAGGGCACGGCGTTTGGGCCGGGAAGGCTCCGCTGCCACCGTCACCAGCTGGGGAGAGGCAGAGGCGGGCGGTGAGCGGGCTCCCCGTGCCACAGCACCGGGCACCGCCGCGCCTGTCCCGTTTTCGTACCCGTGGCCGTGTCCTGGGCGCTCTCCTCCTCTGCCTCTTCTTCCTCGGCCTCGTGGGGGGCCGCATCCTGCTCCGGGCCCACCGTGTCCACGGGCAGCCCCTGGGGCGAGGGGCAGCAGCTGGCACCCGCGGGCTCCCCGCATCCCCCCCCCCCCCCGGGGGGGGTCCCCGGCCCCTCACCTCGGTGCCCGCCAGCACCCAGCTGCTGTCCGAGTCCCGCGAGTCCGATTTCTCCGCCATGCTCCCGCCTGCGGACGGCGCTGACCCCCCCCTGCGAGGAGACGGACAGACGGATGGACAGACGGAAGGACAGACAGACAGGTGGACGGACGGACAGACCTCACCCTGTCCCCGCTCCTGATTTGCCTGGCAAAGCGAGTTTGGGAGCGGGAGCAAAGGGCGGCCCGGTGCGGCCCCGCGGTCCCCGCACGGGTGGGATGCCGCAGCCGGGCACCCCCCGGTGGCACCGGGATCCGGGGGGGGCTCCTCCGGGGGGGCACCGAGCCCTCGCCTCGCCCGGTGCTGGCAGGAGCAGGGCCGGGGCGCAGCGGTCACGGCGGCGGTGCCCGGGGATTCTGCACATTCCCGGCACAGCTGTGGAGGCGCCGCCCCCCCGAGAGCCCCCCCGCGACCCTCCCCAGGCCCCCCCGGGGTTGGCACCGGCCCAGCGGCGGTGGGACCGAGACGTGGGAAGCCCCCGCGGGGCGTGGAGGCTCCCGGGGGGGGAACGGGGCTGGACGCGGCCCGGTGCACACAACCGACCCCCCCCGTTGCCCCTCCGACCCCCCCGCCGGTGCCGCCCCCCCCCGCCCCGCCGCCAGCCGTCCCGCGGGGTATTTTTAGCCGCGGTGATGCCGCCCGGCAGGTGGACGGGGACGCGGCGAGCCCGGGGCCCGGCAGGCACCGAGCGGCGGCCCCCGCCGCGGTATTTAGGGCAGCGCCCCCGGGGGGGGCCCCCCCGCACCCCAACTTCCACCGGCGCCGCGCCCCGGGGCTCCCCGGAACCGGGGGGGGGGGAGCGGGGCCGGAGGCGGAGCAGGGGCCGTGTCCCGGGGGCGATGCGCGCTCAACCTCCCCGCGGAGCCGGTCGTGCCCCGGGACGTGCGCTCCGCTCCCCGGGGGAAGGGACCGGGAGCGGAAGGACCGGGAAGGGACCGGGATGGGACCGGGGGGGGTCCGGGAAGGGACCGGGGGGGTACCCGGGGCGATGCTGCGCGGCCGGGAGGAGCGGGGCGGGCGGTACCTGGAGCCGCTCGGGGCGCCGCTCGGCCCGGTCCCGGCCGCAACTTTCCGCCGGTGCCGGTCGCCGCCCTCGGGACGGGCGCGCACGTGACGCGCGCAGCCAATGGCGGCGGGGCGGGCACCGGGAGGGGGGGGGTGGGGTGGAGGGGGTAACCGGGGGGGCACCGGAGCAGAGCAGACACGGACACGGCGGTTTCAGAGTTTTATAGCGACGATACAAAAGTTTCCATTAACGCTCCGCTAAAACGGGGGGGGTGGGGGGGGCACCGGGACCTCCGCGAGTGGAAAACGGGGGGGCGGGGGGGGGGCACCGGGACTGCACGGAGCAGGGGGAGGGGGGCGCGTTGCCCCCGGGGCACCCGTGCCAGCAGGCAGAGCCCCCCGGGGGGGTCCAGGGAAGCTTCAGCCCCCGAACACCAGCACGATGGAGCCCCCCCACACCCGAGGGAGCCCCCCCATGGCACACACCGGCACAGCCAGAGCCCCCCGTGCGTCCCGGCGGGGGCCACTCGCTGCCGTCCCGTGCTCACGAGTCCAATGGCTACAAAAAGGGGGGGTTTGGTCCTAAAACTGCGCGGGGAGCTGTACAAGGCTTTGGGGGGGGGGGGGGGTCGCAGGGGGCGGCTCAGCCGTCGTTGGCGGCCACCAGCTGCCCCATGCCCTCGCGGACGTACACCGACTGGATCTCCTTGGTCTTCAGGCAGAAGTCGCAGGCCCAGACGGCCGAGGCCTCGGTGGTGAGCAGCCCGTAGGCGTTCTCCGTCATGCCCGTGCACTCGCGGTGGAACCACTTCTGGCAGGAGGCCTCGCACAGGATGGCGTCCTGGTCGTCGTTCACCTCGTTGCGGCAGGCCCCGCACGGGTACACCAAGCCCGGGGGGGGCTGGTGCCCCGAGCCGCCGGCCGCCTTGCCAGGGGGGGGCGGGAGGCTGTTGGTCTCGGGGGTGCCGCCGCCGCGGCCGGCGCTGGGGGGGGCGAAGCTGGGCTGCGCCCCGTTAACGGCAGCCGGGGAGCCCGAGTGCTGCTCCTGGGGGAAGCTGCTGGGAGGGGGGTTCAGGTTCTTACCCCCCTCCTCGCCGCCGGCGGGGAAGCCGGGGTCCGCCCCGGGGAAAGGGCTGGCGGTGGGGGGCAGGGGGGGCACGTTCTGCCCGGGGCGCTGCATGGGGGACTGTCCGAAGAGGTTGCCGGGCTGGCCGAAGCGCTGAGCCATGGCCGGGCCGCCGGGGGGGTTGAGGGCAGCCGGCCCGGGACCCATATCCCCCCGGGGGGGCTGCCCCATGGTGGGGGAGATCATGGGCCCGAAGCCCCCCACGGGCCCCTGCATGAGCTGCCCCGTGGGGGGGCTGAAGTTCTGTCCGAGGGGCTGCCCGAACGGCTGCCCGGGGAAGCTCATGGCCCCGGGCTGCACGTAGCCGGGGTTCTGGGGGGGCATGCCGAAGGCCGGGCCCATCTGCCCAGGGGCGAAGGGCGGCGGCGGCGGCGGCTGCCTGCGGAGGGGCTGCGGCCCCCCCCCGCCGTAACCGGGGGGCACCTGCGGCGCCAGCCCCCCCTGCACGCGGAAGCCGCCGAAGGGCACGGGGCTGCCCAGGAACGGCGCCGCCGCCCCCGCCCCCGCGCCCACCTTGGGGGCGCCGAAGTCGTCCTCGAAGGGGTTGGAGGCCACCAGGTGATCCACCATGGGCGTGGGCGGCGGCGCGAACTCCGACAGGTGCGAGTAGGCCGGGCCCTGCGGGGGGGGGCGGGGGGGGGTCACGGCCCGGCACCGGCACCGGCACCGGGAGGAGGGAGTACGGGGGGGGTACGGGGGGGTTGGGGGGGTACGGGGGAGGCAGTCCCGGTGCCGGCCCCGCTCCCTACCTGCGTGTTGGATTTCCGCCGCTTCTTCTCCGGGCTCTTCATCTGCAGCCCTGTGGGGGGAGGCGGCGCCGTCAGCACCGGGACGCGGCGGAGCCCCGGTCCCGGCCCCCCCCCCCAAGCCCCCCCGGTCCCGGCAGGCCGCGGCCCCCCCCCCCGCTCTCTCACCTGCCTTCCCCTGCTTCCTGCCGGGCCCGCCGGCGGCGGCGCTGCCCGCGGGGTGCGGGCCCCCCCCCGGCGGGGGCGGCGGTGCCGGGACGCCTCCCTCCAGCTTCTCGCCGTGCGGCGCCGCCATCGCCTCACAGCGGGCACGGAGCCGCCATGGCCCCGCCGCGCCTCCTCCCCCCTCCCCTCCCCGTCCCGCCCCGCTACCGGAAGCGGAAGCCGCGGGCGCGCGCGCGGGGCCAATCGGAGCGAGGGGGCGGGGCGAGGGGCGCCCGGCGGGGCGGGACGAACCATGTGGGGGGGAAAGGAGGGGGGGGAAGAGGGTGGGATGAACCATGTGTGGGGGTGGGGGGGAAGGGAGGGAGGAACCATGTGAGGGGAAAGCGGGGGTGGCGGGAGGAACCACGTGACGGGAGGGGGGGAGGGAAATGGGGAGGGGGCGCACGGGGCCCCCCAGCCCCTTACTCGCCCCCCAGCCCCCTTTACTCGCCCCCCCAGCCCCCTTTACTCGCCCCCCAGCCCCCTTTACTCGCCCCCCAGCCCCCTTTACTCGCCCCCCAGCCCCTTTACTCGCCCCCCCAGGCCCCTTTACTCGCCCCCCAGCCCCCTTTACTCGCCCCCCAGCCCCCTTTACTCGCCCCCCCAGCCCCTTTACTCGCCCCCCCAGGCCCTTTACTCGCCCCCCAGCCCCTTTACTCGCCCCCCAGCCCCTTTACTCGCCCCCCCAGGCCCTTTACTCGCCCCCCAGCCCCCTTTACTCGCCCCCCAGCCCCCTTTACTCGCCCCCCAGGCCCTTTACTCACCCCCCAGCCCCTCTACTCGCCCCCCAGCCCCCTTTACTCGCCCCCCAGGCCCTTTACTCGCCCCCCAGCCCCCTTTACTCGCCCCCCAGGCCCTTTACTCGCCCCCCAGCCCCCTTTACTCGCCCCCCAGCCCCCTTTACTCACCCCCCAGCCCCCCTTACTCGCCCCCCAGCCCCCTTTACTCGCCCCCCAGCCCCCTTTACTCGCCCCCCAGCCCCCTTTACTCACCCCCCAGCCCCTTTACTCGCCCCCCCAGCCCCCTTTACTCGCCCCCCAGCCCCTTTACTCGCCCCCCAGGCCCTTTACTCGGCCCCAAAGCCCCAGTGCTCACCCCCCAAGCCCTTTACTCGTTGCCCCCCCACCCTGATGCTCGCCCCCCAAGCCCCCCAGTTTGCCCCCTCAGCCCCCTTGCTCGCCCCCAGCCCCAGCCCTTGCCCCCCCCACCCTGGTGCTCCCCCCCCCAAGCCCCCCTGTTTGCCCCCCCCCCCAGCAGAGCAGCCGGGCCTAGAGAAATACCAACTTTAATTCCGCCCGCCGCGTCCTTTGGTTATAGCGGGGCCGGGGCAGGGCTGCGCTTTGGCTTCAGGGAACGAGGTGCATGCGGCGGGGCCCGGCCACTCTCCCCCCCCCCACCCCAAAAAACCCCTCTCTCTCTGGGGAGGGTGCCCGGGGAAGGGGCTCGGTGGGGGCCCGGAGGGGGCTCGGGGCCGTCGCCCCCCCGCCCGGCTGCATTGCATAAGTGTGTGGGACCTGCGGGGTCAAGGCACAGTTAACACGTAAAGTGATCGGGTACATTCGGTGCGCGGCCGCCCGGCCTTGTGCTTGGGGAGCCCCCGGCTGGACCCCCCCCCCCCCCTTGGGGCTGGCGGGCCGAGGGGCCGAGGGCCCGTGCCCCCCCTGGGTGAGCACAAAAGGGGTCACGGCCACACCACGCTGCGGCGACACCGCCCGGGGCCAGGCTTTGGTTCGAGCTGAGCTGCTGTGCAAAGGCTGGAGCTGGGGGGAGGCAGGGGCTTTGGCAACGACAGCCCCCCGCCCTGCAGGCAGCTCCCGCCGCGCCATCCCCGTGGCCACCAGCTCCTCGTGGCGGACGGGGACCGGGGATGGGGCCGTCCCCAGGCAGTCCGAGCCCGGTCCTGGGCAGGGCACCCGGCTGTGAGTCCAAGCGCTCCCCCCCTGGGGCAGGGAGCGGGGCCGGGGGGGGTGGGGGCCGCGCACCGGGGTCCCCGGGCGCTCACAGTCTCCTTTCCACAGGCTGCTGCAGGCACATCTCGCTGCCAGCCGAGATGATGGGCAGGTGATTGTCCATGTGGTAGCTGATGAGGTGGCTGACACTCTCGAAGCGGTGGTCTTTTGTCCGCACCTGCGGGAGGGGGCGCTCAGAAATCCGCAGCTGACAAAGCCCCGAGCCCCCCCCGCGTTGCTGTGCCCGCTCCATCCCCCAAATCCAGCCTCGAGGTGCCCCCTGAGGGGCAGCAGGAAGCCCAGGAGGTTCCCGTATCTCACAAAGGGGTGCAGGACCCCCGGCTTTGGGGTTTCAGGGACTCACCACTCCTTCGGGATCGACGAGCAGCAGGTGCTTGGGCTGCCCGCCCTGCAGGCCGGTCAGCACGTACTGGCCGGGGGTGGTGGTGCTCTCCCGCACCAGGAAGTCTCCGTTCACCTTCAGCAGCTTCTCGGCCTCCTTGCGGTTCATCTTCCCGTGGTACCAGGGCTCCCGGCGCAGCTGCTCCTCCATGGAGGCCACCACCTGTGCCGGCGGCAGGCTCACGGGCACGGCGGGGGGCACGCGCAGGGCGTCCTCAAAGGGCTCTGCGGGGAAAGGAGCGGGACTGGTGCTCGCCTTGCACCCACAACAAACCCCACAGCCCGGGCACGGCTGCATCCCATTTAGGGGACGGGACGGACCCATTGATCCCTCGAGGTCCCCTCCAGCCCCTACAATTCCCACCGCACTCACTCATGTCGAAAAGGTCCCGCTGGGCGCTGCCGTTGGCCGTTGTGGGGGCTCCGGCAGCGGACGCCTGGCGCGCCTTGTCCACGTTCTGCACGTTGACGTAGGACGGGTCATCGAACAGGTCGGTGCGGCCGGCCGCGCCTGCTGCAGCCGGGTATTTCTCTCTCCCTGCTGCAAAGAGCACAAAAAGTCAGCGGGGCTCCAGCCCACCTCGGTCCCAGCGCCAGCGCTCGATGCTGGAGCGGTTTGGGGTGCGGGAGAGCAGCACGGGGACAGCCACGGCCCCCGCATTACCCTGGGCAGGAGCGTGCTGCTTCCGCGGGTCGTACTCCCCACCAGAGGTCTGGCCGACGGGCTGCAGAGAAAGGCACAAGGTGAGTGAGCCCGGGGGGTCCCATCGCGCCCCCAGTCCCCACCCGGGGCTGTGAGAGGTGCTGGAGGCTCACACCGCAGACTCTGGGCTGGAATAACCCCGAGTGAGCAGCCCAGAGCTCCACCAGGGGCCCTGCATCTCCCTCGTAATGTGGGATCTCCCCCCGAGCACCCCGCAGAGACGTGCCCCAAGCCTTACCAGCGTGGCCCCCAGGTGGTTGGGGGTCTGCGCAGCCCCCTCGCGCAGCCGCATGTCCACGACCCCCCCGATGGGAGGCTCCTTGCCGGGGAAGTCGTTGTAGTACTGGTGGTCTGGGGCTGGTTCCTCCTCCTCCTCATCCCAGGCAGAGCCGTCGAACCCCGCCATCCTGGGGGGGGGAGGGCACAGCCCAGCTCAGCAGCCGCCAGCAGCCGGGGAAGCGTCCCTGTGACATGTCCCTGCGCCGCCCCCGGGAGATGTGACACCTCCCTGCCTACCTGTCGTGGGGCGTCACCAGCTTCGGGGGGTTCTTCAGGTACTGCTTGAAGCGCAGCTCGAAGGCCTGCCCGATGGTGCTGATCACGTCCTGCGCCAAGCCCTCCGGGCACTCCAGGATATGGCAGGCTGGGAAGGGAACAGCGGGGTGGGGGCGTGGAACCTCAGCATTAAATCCTCCGCCCCGTGAACCCACCCTGTGCGCCCCCCCCCGCCCCACCGAGCTGCACCCAAACACCCACAAAACGGGGCTCTGGGACACCCAGCAGTGCCCTCACCTCTCTGGTTGACGGGATCTTTGGCAACGTAGGCAACGTACTCAGCAGTGTCCTGCAGGAGGGAAGGCACCGATGAGATGGGGCTGCCGGGGACCACGGTGCCCCAGACTTTAGGGCCAGGGCAGGGGAGCCCCGTCCCGTGCCAGGGGTAAGGACCCAGCCCGCTGGGAGCCGCCGTACTCACCGGGTCTCCCCCCGAAGCGAAGGAGATGGACTGCATGTGGTGGTTGGCAATGATCTGCAAGGCACAGGGGGCAATGATCTGCCTCGGCTGGCACCTCCTGCCCGCCACGTTCCCCCCGGGGCTGGGGCTCGCGGGGGCCCTGGTTATGAGCCACAGGGCACCAGAGGATGGCCGAGACACCCCCAGAGCCACCAACAGAGTGCCTGGAGCGCCCCTCGGATCTCTGCCCCCAGCAGTGGGTGAGCCAGGCCCCTCGGACCAGGAGGAGGTGGGCGCTCAGCAAGCCCCAGATGTCCCCGTGGAGGCTGGGGACACCCCCAGCAGGGACCAGAGGGGACACAACGACCCCTCCCCGTTTAGAGCCAGCCGCCCAGCCCCTGCCTCTCACCTGCTTGCAGTCGGAGGCCATGAGGTTGAGGCTGCTGGTGGAGATGGTCAGGGTGATGGGCATGCCGGCGAACTTCAGGTTGCTTTTCCCCAGGATGGAGTTCAGGGAGCGGCCGCAGGGCTGGGGGCAGAGGGCAGCATTGGGAAGGGGGCTCCTGGGCCCGGAGCCTCGTCCCCCAGCAGAGGCAGCCAGCTCAGCTCCCCACGAGGCCAACAAGAGCCCCGGGTGCCCGGGCTGAGGTCCAGCCCTCGGCCACGGGCACCCCGAGCCCGCTGGCAGCCCTCCCAGCCCAGCCTCACCTTCCTCCTCCGCACGGCTCCCTTGGCACCGGGCACAGCCTCGCACACCAGGCCGATCGCCTCCCTGCGGGGAGCACAGCGGGACGTCAGTCTGGGCTGGGGGCCCCCCCTGTGGTCCCCCCACCCACCCCAGCACAGGGACGAGGCGGCGGCGGGGCGGCTCCGCGCTCACCGCCACGTCCGCAGGGCGCTGCTGGGCGGAGGGCGAGGGAATCAGCGCAGGAGGGACGGGGTTAAAGCGAGGGACACAAAAGGGAAGCCCTCGGGGCTGGCTCCCGACCCGGCTGGGGCAGGGGAAGAGCTCCAAGAGCTCGGTTAATATTTGATGGGGTCGCCGGAGCGCTTCCTGCCTGGCCAAGCCCATTGACGGGCGCATCGATCCGCCGGGCAGCTGCCTCCAGGGCTGCAGACAGCCTGGCCACCAGCTACGGACCCACCCCGGGGCAGCCCCAAGCCCCCCCAAAGCCCAGCAGAGCCCCCCCAAAGCCCAGCAGAGCCCCCCCAAGCCCAGCAGAGCCCCCCCAGCCCAGCACGGACGCAGGGCTCACCTGGTGACCTGGGTCCTGGTGTTGAAATCCAAAGCCCTCATGGACTGCAGGACTTCCACGCAGCCCATGTACTGGGGGGGGACAGCGGGGTCAGCCCAGAGAGCCCCGAGCTTCGCCCCCCACCTCCCCACGCAGCCCACGAGCGGGGAGGGGACGGGGACAGGTCCCCTGTGCCACCTACCACATGGGGGTGACCCCCGCAGGACACCCCCCACCCACCTCCCGCCCACAAGCAGCACACCAGGAGCTCCCCCAAAGCCCACCCTGCCCCTTCGTGCCCCCCCAGCGCTCACCCTGACGTGGTAGGAGACCCCCGGGCCCATGACCTTGTCGTCCGGGTGCAGCCAGCCGCGCGTGGGCTTATTGACAAAGCTGCCGTGGCGCGTCCATTCATCGCCGCCCAGCTGGCCGCCTTCCACCCGCGTCTTCTTCCCGCAGCTCAGCTTGTTCATATCCTGGGAACACACAGCGACAGGGCCCGCTGAATCGGGGCCGCCGGCTCCTCCCGGTGCCGCTGCGAGCGTGGCGGCCGGGCCGGGCTCCCCCGGGCTCCCGGCCTCCTTGAGGCTGCCGCCTGTGGAGCCCCGCAGGCTGAGCAGGTTGGCGGGGTTCGAGAGCTTCAGGTTGGCCATTTTGGGGAAGAAGGAGCAGAGGGTGGTGGGGCTGTCCTCCGACTCGGACGAGAGCTCCCCGAGAGGCAGCATGGGGCTGAGGGAGGAGGACGACAGGGAGCCGGGCAGGGAGCGCGTGCCCGCGAGGGGCTCCAGCGGCGAGGTCGGGGCCCCCCCGCCGCCCCCCGCCTCCTCCAGGGAGGAGACGGACTCATTCCGCAGGTGGCTGTATTTGCTCTTCTGCAGCAGATCCATTCCAGGGAGAGGCGAGAAGGGCTGGCACGGCTCACAGAGGCCCCATGGGCTTGTCCGAGCGCCTACGGCCGCCGCGAAGCCGCCCCCGAGCCTGGGCCGAGCTCGGTGCCGGGCGCTCGCCAGCCCCGCATGGCTCGCGGGCAGAGCCGGCCCCGCTGTGCCGCGGGGGCTGCCCAGCTCCACGCCGTCGCAGCCGATCGATGGCAAGCGGCGTCAGCGAGGACGCAGGGATCCGGCCAGATGGAGAGCGACCCCTGCTCCCGGAGCGGCGGGGAGGAAACGGGGCCGCGGCTACGCCCCGGGGCCGCGCGGAACAGCCGGAGAGGGGGCTCAGCACGCTCGGCCCCCAGCCTGGAGGGCCTCGAGCCCCGCAGCCCCGCGTTGCTCCCAAACCGGGCTGCCCACAAATCCCATTGTCTTCGGTCGAGGCCTGATCCGGCCCCCTCTGCCCCGCAGACGGGTCCCAAACCGCTGCCCCTCCGCCCCCGCCGGCTCGCTCTGCCCCTGCGCTCCCCCAAGCAGTCGCCGGCAGCTAAGAGGAAATCAAAAGCATGAATATTTAAAGCCCTGAGACAAGGCAGCCACAGAGCGCATCCAAGCCCAGCCCAGCCCTGCTCCAAGCCCCGGCCAGGAGCGAACAAGGTCCTTCTGTGGTGGCCAGCGCTATGCAACCCACGTGCCGGCGGCAGGCAGCTGCTGTTGGCTCCCCGGGCTTTGCAGGGGGGAGCAGCACCCGAGGCAGGGGGGGCAGCGATGCCAGGACGCCTCCGGTGCTCGCTGGGGCTGCGGGGACATCCAGCCCTTTGGCAGCACGGCTCCGGGCGCAGAGGAAGGAGGACGGCCGGGAGCAGGACACAGGTGGGTGCCGAGCCCCCAGGGAGAGGCCGGGCTCAGCGCGAGCCCCCCGGCTGCGGCGTGGGGCCGGTGGGAGCCGCCGATGGCCGCTGCTCCCCGCGGCGCGGCCGCTCCTCCCGGAGGAAAACGGGGCTGCCGGTGAGCTGCCGGTAAGCGGCGGGGCCGTGCTGACTCACGGGCGGAGGAGCGGGCTCTGCCCGCGCCGGGGCTGCGAGCGGGCTGGGGTGGCAGCGCAGGAGGGGCTCCCGGAGAGGGGTGGGGACCCAGCCAGTATCTGGAGCAGAAAAATCAAGGTCACAGGCGGAGCTAGCGGGAGCTGGGGAAAAGCAGCAGCGTGCCGGCGGCACCGGGGCAAAGCTCACCCACTGTCCGTGGCAGGGAGGCCGGGCGTAGCCCCCGTTTCGTGGTGGGGGCTGCGGGGGCTGCCCCGCTCCCCCTTCATCCCCACCTGATGCAGAACGGGGCCAGGAGGAGCTGGGAGCAGCCCAACCCCGCCACGCGCATCCACGCTCATCTCCACAGCCTCGCCCTCCCCACGGGGCCACAGCTCCCCTCTCACCTCCTGGGGATGCAGCCGGGGCTTTCGGGCCCCTCCGACCCACCGCCTGGCACCTGGGCAGTTCCCAGGAACCCCTCACTCTGCAAAACCCAACACTGAGCCAAATTCGGCTGAATCCAACCCAAGGGAAGGGCTCTCCCCTCTCGGACCCAGCACGGCACCGGCAGCCTCCGGCCCCGCTTCCCAACCGCTGGCACCTCCACGCAGCCAGGCAGGAGCTGGAAAATCCCCCTGCACAGGGCGCCCCGACACCAGCACACCCCACGGCCCGCTCCCCACCCCGAGCCCCCCACCTCGGTCCCGCAGGAGCCCGTGCCAGCCGTCCCGCTGCACGCTTCGTCCCCGCCCGGGGCCCCGCAGCCGCTCAGCGCCGTGACCTTCCCATGGCCGCTCCAAAGAAAGGCAGGAAGCCCGGGGCCGGGGAGCCAGGAAGCAGGGACCCGCCGGGGGGAGCGGGGCTGGGCGGCGTTGAAGGGGCTCGGGGGGCTGGTGAGGACCCGGGGGGCTCGGGGGCGCAGGGCTGGGTGCCCCACCCGGCACAGCGGCCCCCTTGGGAAGCCCCGAGGGAAGCGCAGAGGGGCAGGGGTCTCCTGGAGCCGGCTGGGGAGGGGACCCCAAGAGGCCAGGCAGGCGGCAGGGCTGGGAGCAGCCAGGGCTCTGCTCTGAGAGCGGAATCGGTGCTGATTTTATCAGAACCTCCGGCATCGAGGCCGAGGCCAGATAGCGCACGTGATGCCAACTGGCACCGGCTGGGCATGAGGCGGGTCGCATGATGCCAGCCCTGGCACACAAACAGCTCGTCTGCCACGGCCCCCCCGGCCCAAGGAGGCAGAGACCCCCCGAGGAGCCGCAGAGACCCCCCCAGAGCGCCGAAGGCAGACGGAGACGTGCGAAGCCCCACAAAAAACTCCTGCCCCTGAAGCTAAAGGACGCAGGGAGCCGCCAGAACCACCGCCCCCGAGGAGCTGGCGGGACACGTCCCGGCCGAGCCGCTCCTTGTGCCCGGGAAGCGAGGGGACGCGCGGGCTCGGCCGGGTCCTGCGTGCTTCTGCGTGCCCGGGGACCTCGCGCTCGGCGCGCAGCAGGAGGAGAAGCAGAGAGCGGCCGCAGCCTCCAAAGCGGGACCGAGCCAAGCCCGAGCCCGTATTTTCCCCGGGCGCCGAGCGGGGCCTCGCCGCTGGGCCAGCGCCCGACATCCTCCCAGGAAACACAAACCGGGAGCTGAGTCAGAGAGCTGGAACACGCGCGGGGTTTGGCAAGGAATCGCGGCGAGGCGCTCGCAGCCGCGCGCAGACACGGGCCGCCCGCCGCCGCACGTACGCACCTCAGCGGCGCAGGGCGGGCCGGAGACCCCCTCGGTCGGAAAGCAGCGGCGGTGGAGCCCTCCCCGTCCCCCGTCCTCCTGCAGCACGGGGCGAGAGCAAAGAGAAAAAGGCTGAACGCCGGCCTACGGCTGCGTGCTTCCCCCCCAGATATCGCTCCAACGTCACGCGGCGGCGGCGCGGCCCTCCTCTCCGCCGTCCCCGCCGCCTCCTGGGGCCGGGGGAAGGCCGGCGGGGGCCCGGCGGGGAGGGAGAGGAGGCAGGGCCCGCCACCGAAGCCACCGAGCCCTCCACCGAAGCCCCGAGCGCCGGCCGGCCTTACCACGTACTCCATCGGCGGCGGAGGGCAGGGAAGGGAAAGGCAGAGCCCCTCTCGTCTGGCCGTCCCACCTGCGGTTCGGGGACAAACAGCGAGTTAGCCAGCCCGGCCCTGGGCCGCGGGGAGGTGGCCCCGGCTCCTTCGAGTCACCACGTCCCCGGCTGGAAGGGACCCGCGGGGGTCAGGGGGCCGGCTCCTCGCTGGCCGCAGGCGGACGGGGCTGCAACGCTGCCCAGGCGGGGGGCAGGGACCCGCGAGGCGTCCTCAGTCCTCACGGCCCCGTCCCGGGATAACGGCACCACCGGGATGCTCCGGGGCGCGAGGCCGAGCTGGGCACGGACCCGGCTCTGTTCAGGCCTCGTCCACCAGGAAAAGGAGTTGGGAGCCGCACGGGGCAGATCCCAAACCAGAAGAGCCTCGGTTTCGGTGACTCTGTGCCGTGAGATGAGCGCCGGAGCTGATCCCCAAGGCCCTGAAGCTGCCGGGTCCCCAAAAAAGCACCAAGAGGGCCACAAGGACAGGCCCCCCCCCGTGCAGAGCAGCGCCCCAATCCTGCCCACATCACCCCCAGGGCTGGCACACGAAGCCCCCCAGGGCTGCAGCCCCGGGAGGGAGCGGAACGGGAGCCGGGGTTAGGAAGGAGCAGAAAAAGGAGCCCCGGGGAGCCGGGGGTGGGGGGGGAGCAGGAACGGCCCCGAGAGCCCCCGGTGGGGCGGAGCAGGGCAGCGCTTCCCGGATTGACTTCCTCGAAGCCATCGCGCCCTTATCTAGGGCCGAGGCCGCGAGATAAGCAGGGCGCAGCCACCCCCGCGGGGCTGCCGGTAACGGCACCGCCTCCCGGGGCCCCTGCGTGCCCCGCGGGGCAGGAACGGGGCTCGGGCAGCGGGGGCGAGAAGCGGCCCCAAAGCCGGCACCGGGAGCACCGGGCCTGGCGGGGAGGCTGCGGCACGGGGGGGACCTCCGGGGAGCCTCCCGGTTCCCCCGCCGTGCCCGTGGGCCCCCAAAATGCTGTGAGGGGGGCACGGCCGCGGCCGCCCCGGTCCCAGCCCCGGGGGAACGGCGGCGCCTCGCGAGCCACGGGGGGAGCCGGGGTTCACCGGGTGATCTCCCGCACACGGAACCGAGCGGTTTGAACCCAAAACGGGAAGGCGCCGGGTCACGAAGGCCGCGGGGGGAAGCGTCCACCGGGCCCGCACCGGACCCGCCCCCTGAGCCCCCCCCCAGAGCCCCGGGGCTGAGCCGGGCCGGGGGCACGCCACGGGACACGGGGGGGCCTCGGGGCCCGGGGTCGCCGGTTTGGGGCCCGGAGCGAACCCCCCGCGGGTCCCGGCAGCGCTGCCCGTGCCGGTGACTCCCGGCCTCGGCCTGCCCGCAGCACCGGGAGCCCCGGGACGCCCGGGACACGAGGGGGGGGGGCACGGAGGCGACCGGCGGGGCCGTCCCCAGCCCCTCCCCCGCCGCCGGTAGCACCGGGCGCGTAGCGGCACCGGGACCGGCACCGGGCCCAGCACCGGCCGCACTCCCCGCGGGGCACAGCCCGGTGGCGGGCGGCAGGGGGCGGAGCCCCCCCCTCAGCCACACGGCCCCGCCCGGTGCCTCCGGGGCCTCGCCCGTCCCGGGAGCCCTCCCGCGGCCTGCAACCGGCCACCGGGGAGCCCCCCACGGCCCGGTCCCGCGGGCTGCGCTCACCGGGGCACCATGGGTGTCGCGCGGGTCTCGCGCTCGGCCTCCTCCGCTCCCGGCCGCCGCGGCGCCCCCCCCGCCGCCGCTCCCGCCCCGCCCCCCGCCGCCCCGCCACTCACTTCCGGCCCCCGCCCCTCGCGCCGCGGCCCCGCCCCCCGCCGTCACGTGACGAGCGCGCGCGAGGAGAGGGGAGGCGGCGGGCGGGAGCCGCGCGGAGGGGAAAGGGAGGGGCGGGGCGTCGCGCGTCTCAGCCAATCAGATGCCGCGCCTCGCCGCCCGCCCAGACGGCGCGGGCCAATGGGAGCGCGGGGCGGCGGCGTTTGAAAGCGGCGCGAGGCGGGGGGGGGCGGGGGGAGGCCAACGGCCCGGCGGGGCGCTGAGGCGAGGAGAGGCTGAGGCGAGAGGCGAGGGGCGCGGCGGGGGCTGCCGGGAAGGGGGCGGCCCGCGGCGGGCGGTCATGGCGCACAAGCAGATTTACTACTCGGATAAGTACGACGATGAGGAGTTCGAGTACCGGTGAGTGGAGGGGGCGGGGGGGCGCCGGGAAACCGGGGAAAAACCGGGGAAGGGAAGGGGGGGGCGGAGGGGGCGGGGCGGGTAACGGCCGCCGGTAACGCCGCCCCCTGAGGGAGAGGGGCACCGGGAGGGGGGGCGGGGTGGGAGGGGGGCGGTGGGGGAGAACCGGGGGGGGCGGATGGGATGGGGATGGGGGCGGCGGAGGGGTCCCGGGGGCGGTGGGGGAGCACCGGGGGCGGTGGGGGAGCACCGGAGGGAGGGAGGGGGACGGGGGGGCAGCCCCGGGGGTGGAGGGGGGGGACACGGGGCGGCGGGGGAGCAACGGGGAAGGGGGAGATGCCCCGGGGGTACCGGGGGGGAGCCCCGGGGGTGGGGGAGGCCAGGGGGAGAGCCCCAGGGCTGGGGGGGGGGAAACGGGAGGAGCCCCGGGGGTGGGGAGGGACCGGGGGGGAGCCCCGGGGGCGGGGGGGGGGGGGGAACGGGAGGAGCCCCGGGGGTTGGGGGTGGATATGGGGGGGGTTCAGAGCGCCAGGGGAGCCCCAGGGTTGGCTGAGGAGCCCCGGAGGGATGGGGGGGGGGAGCCCCGGGGACGGCCGTGCCCTCCCCGCCGGGCCGGTGTGAGCCCCCCCCTGCGGGCACCGCAGGCACGTGATGCTGCCCAAGGACATCGCCAAGCTGGTGCCCAAGACCCACCTGATGTCCGAGTCGGAGTGGCGCAACCTGGGCGTGCAGCAGAGCCAGGGCTGGGTGCACTACATGATCCACGAGCCAGGTGAGGCCCGTGGGGGCTGCCCCGGGACTACGTGCCCCGGGCCGGCCACACCGCTCACGCTCCCCTCATGCTCCCTCCCCGCAGAGCCGCACATCCTCCTCTTCCGACGGCCGCTGCCCAAGAAGCCGGAGAAGTGAACGGCGCCGCTGCCGGCCGGGCCACCGAAGCACCTTCCTGCTCCTCTCCCGTACCCCCGGCCCCCAGGAGCCCCCCCACGTGCCCGCCCGGCGGCCCCGTGCCCCCCCCCTCCCCCCTTGGGGGGGGTCTCGCCCTGCCCGGCCGGGGCCGAGCTGCAGGATGCCCGTGACCGACGGTGCCGTCGGGGCAGCCGTGGCGGCTCGGCCCCATGCTGCGGGGTTGGGGATCTCCAAAGCTTCAATAAAGGACGTTTGGGAACCGCCGTGTGCTGCCGGTGTACCGGGGGAGGGGGCGGGAGGGGGGTCCCGGTACCGGGAGCAGCTGCTGGTGTTGCCCCCGGTGCCCCGGGGGGGGCTTCCCGGGGGGGCATTGCCCTTACCGGGGAGGGCTGGGGGAGGTGGGGGGCTCCCGGTGCCCGTTTGGGGGGGGAGGAGGGGGCGGGGGGGTCCCGGTGCCCGGGGGAGGCGGGGGAGGGGCACCCGCCGCAGGGCTGGGCGGGCCCAAGTTCCCGAGGAGGGGGGGGACGGCCCTCCCCGCCCCGCAGCCATGGTTCCGTCTCCCGTCATCCAATCAGAACTCGCAGCGCCCCGTGACGTACAGCCCCGCCGGCCAATCAGAGCGCGGGGAGGCGGCGCGGCCTTGCCCGGTGCACCGGGGCCGGGCCCATGCGGGTGGCGGCGGCGGGGGGGGGGGGCGCGGCTGCGGGCCCTGCTGCGGGCCCGGCGGGACTCGGCCTCCCGTACCATGGCCGGGCCGGGGCCCGCCGCCACCGCCGGGATCATCGTCATCGGGGACGAGATCCTCAAGGTGCGGCGGGGAACCGGGAGCGGGGGGGGCGGGGACCGGGGTGGGGTGCTCCTGGTGTAAGGGTCACGATCCCGGGGTAACGGGAATGTACCCGGGGTAATGGGCGTGTGCCCGGTGTAAGAGGCACGTGCCCGGTGTACTGGGCATGCTCCCGGTGTACCGGGCACGTTCCCGGTAGTATAAGGGTCATGTTCCCAGTGTAACGGGCGCGCTTCTGGTGTACCGGACGTGTTCCCGGTGTAAGGGTCATGATCCCGGTGTACCGGGCATGTACCCAGTGTACCTACCGGGTATGCTCCTGGTGTACTGGGCACGTTCCCAGTGTACCGGGAGTGCTCCCGGTGTACCGGACACATTCCGGGTGTAAGGCTCATGATCCCGGTGTGCTGGGTGTGCTCCCAGTGTACCGGGCATGTACCCTATGTACCTACCGGGTGTGCTCCCAGCATACCGGGCACATTCCCAGTGTACCGGGCACGTTCCTGGTGTAAGGGCCACGTTCCCGGTGTACCAGGCATGCTCCCGGTGTACCGGGCATGTACCCAATGTACCTACCGGGTGTGCTCCCAATGTACCGGGCACATTCCCAGTGTACCGGGCATGTTCCCGGTGTAAGGGTCACGTTCCCGGTGTTCTGGGCATGCTCCCGGTGTACCGGGCACATTCCCGGTGTAACGGGCACACCCCCACAGGGCCACACTCAGGACACCAACTCGTTCTTCATGTGCCGGCGGCTGCGCTCCCTGGGCGTGCGCGTGGCCCGCGTCTCGGTGGTGCCCGACGAGGTGGACGCCATCGCGGGGGAGGTGGCCGCCTTCGCCTCCCGCTTCACCTTCGTGCTCACCTCGGGCGGCGTCGGCCCCACGCACGACGACGTCACCTTCGAGGCCGTGGCCAAGGCGTTCGGCGAGCGCGTGGTCCCGCACCCGGAGCTGGCGGCGCTGGTGCGCGACGTCTTCGGCGAGACGGAGGCGCGGCGCCCGGCCATGAAGCTGGCGCAGGTCCCCGAGTCCTCGCGCCTCCACTACGGCACCGACCGGCGCACCGGCGGCACCTTCAAGTACCCGCTGGTCAGCGTGCGCAACGTCTACATCTTCCCCGGCATCCCCGCGCTGATGGAGCGCGCCCTGGACGGGCTGGGCCACCTGTTCCGCAGCGAGCACACCCGCTTCCACTCGCGGGCCGTCTACGTGGCGGCCGACGAGGTGCTCATCGCGCCCGTGCTGGACCAGGCCGACGCCGCCTTCCGGGGCCGCGTGAGCCTGGGCTCCTACCCGGACTGGGCCAGCAACTACTACCGGGTGAAGCTGACGCTGGACTCGGAGTCGGAGCAGCAGCTGGAGGAAGCGCACCGCTTCCTGCTGGACAAGCTGCCCCCCGGCGTGGTGGTGCCGCTGGTCACGGACCCCGTGTCGCTGGCGGCCACCGAGGTGTACGCCCTGGCGGAGTCAGGTACCTGGTGTGCGGGCCCTCGTGCTGCGCCCACACGGCCCCCATAGCCCGGGCAGGCCCCGAGGGGCCGGGTCAGTGGGAAGGGTGGTCTGGGGGATCAGCACCGTCAGTCTCTCGGCCCCAGGGTGCTGTCCCAGGCTGTTTGGGGGCAAAATGAGCCCCCAGGAGGGAGCTGGGCCCTGGGGCTGAGCCGAGGCAGCGTGGCCCTGGGTAGGCAGCGGTGCCAGCAGGCAGCGAGTGTCCCCTCCCAGCAGGCTCGGCCCTGGGACAGAAGGTGGCAGCAGCACTGCGGACCATCGAGGAGGCTTTGGACCGCTACAGCCTGGCCCAGCTCTGCGTCGGCTTCAACGGAGGCAAGGACTGCACGGCCCTGCTGCACCTTGTCCATGCCGCCCTGGAGAGGTACCCGACCACGGGGCTGCCCCGGCACAGCCTGGGGCAGGGTCATGGGGGTCCCCAGCCCTCAGCTGGGGCTCTGGGGCTCTCCTTTGCCCTCCTCTGGGGCAGTGAGCGGATCGCTGGGGCCCACCTGGTGGGGTCTGCGTGGCTGCCCTGCCTCGAGTCTCCATCCGCTGCGGCCCCTCAGTGACAGGTCTCTCCCCAGGCGGTACCCGGAGAGGCAGGAGAAGCTGCAGGTGCTCTACATCCGCACCGTGTCCCCCTTCCCTGAGCTGGAGCAGTTCATCCAGGCGACCGTGCAGAGGTACGGGACGGAGAGGGGCCGGTCCCCGGGCAGGGGACGAGCGGCGCCTCCCGCAGCCCGGCTGGCAGCTGCCCGTCCTGCCCGCCAGGTACAAGGTCCAGCTGTGCACCGTGGAGGGCTCCATCCGGGAGGCTCTGGTCGCCCTGAAGGAGCAGCAGCCGCAGCTGGAGGCTGTCCTGATGGGCACGCGGCGGACGGACCCCTACTCGCGCACCCTGACGCCCATGTGCATGACGGACCCCGACTGGCCCCAGTACATGCGGGTCAACCCCTTGCTGGTGGGTGCGCTGCCTCAGCTGCCTCTGCCTGCACGAGGGACAGGGGCAGGGCTGCTTGAAGCGATGGGGAGGGAGCAGCATTCATCCTTCCTCATCCCTGGGGGCTTTTCTCCCCAGTTTCCCCTCTCCTCTTGACATCTCCCACCCTGCTGCCTGGCTGCGGGCACCCTTCACTGCAGCCTGGTGCTGGCAGGCAGGGCACATCAGTGGCTTTTGTCACATTTGGGGACGTGCTGGGAGGGACAGGCGCACTTTGAGGCTGTGGGCAGGGGGTGGTGGATTCCCACGGGGGCTGGCTGCCCCCTGTGTGCTCCGGGCCGGGGTGAGCAGGCAGCCTGCA